ATGCTCGCAACTTCTGAACGCTGAAACAACTTGCTAGTACAAGTCCCTACTACAAGTCTCCGGTAGTACCATATCGCATGCAATCCGTAGTGCGTAGTAATAATACAACTCCCTAGATCTACAAGCAATGCTTGCCCATTACGAATTCCTAAAGCAAGTCCCTATTGCTCTTGCTCGTCGTCCTTCTCGACATCCCTGCCTAATTCTCCTGCTTCCCGTTCCTTCCTGTCCCTCTCCTCTCCTGCGGCTCGCTTCTGATATCTCGTTTTTGCCGGCCTGGGGGCTTGCCCTCGGGGCGAGGCGGGGCTGCGAACCCAAATCGGTACTCTGGGTGGCCGCGCGAATGACTTTTGGGGAAGGGCCAGGCCCGCAAGGGCCGAGAATGTGCCGAGGGTCCCGGTGCTCTCTTCTCCCCCCTCTCGTGTTTTTTCCTTCTCTCCCGTCCCTGTCGGTCCCCTCTCTTCCCCCCTGCCTTCCGTCCGATCTCCTTTTCTGCTCTCGCCTCCCCTCCCCTCCCTGCCACTTCCCGCTCCCAACTATTTCTCCAGTGCTCCCCTGTGCAAAATTCCTATCCTGCTCTCTTCCATGGACCGGCCCAACGAAGGAATCGCAACCTCGGTTCTGTGTTGTGGAGCTCCCGGAACCCAAAAGAGGAATTGTGACCTGGTTTTGGCCTGTGCGATTATTTTTGGCCTTATACGTCAGGCCCCCGAGCCCTGCTGGGGGCGCGCGAAAAGGAATCATAACCTGGGCTATGGGCTGTGAAGTTCCCGGGGCCCAGAGGAATAATCGTGACATAGTTTGTGGTCTGTGAAGATATTTGTTTTGCCTTGCGCGTCGGGCCCCCGCACCCTGCCGGGAGCGCGTGCGCGAGGCGCCCGTGGCCTGCCCGGCCGGCTGCTCCCGTGGCCCGCCCGGCCTGAAAAACAAATCGTGACCTGGGCTCTGCGCTGCGGGGCTTCCTGGGTTCACAGGCGGCATTCTTGGAAACTTTGCACGTCGAACCCCTGGAGCTTTGCCGGGGGCGCGCGCGCGGGATGGGTGGGGAGAGGCTCTGTTGCTCCGTTGCTCCTGTGGCCCGGTCCACAAAAAGAATCGTGACATGGGTTTTGGGCCGTAGAGCTCCCAAGGCCCAAAAAAGAACGCGTCGAACTCCTGGGCCCGCCCGCGCTCCATCCGTTTTGGCCTGTGCAGTCTTTGCCTTGCGCGTTGGGCTTTTTGCCTTGCGCGGAATTTCGGGACAACGTGATTATCAATCATGTTAAGAAAACTGTTGGTCTTGGAAACCGCAATCTTTCTACATTGAACCTATAGGTTAAAACAGTCATGGGGTAAGAGCGATAACACTACCACCACGCATATACCAAATCGCACAACGCGATCATATTACCACCAAGAAACAAACGCAATACAACAGCACGGCAAGTCTGGGGGTTAAGACTTGTGGAACAACAGCAGGGACAACGACAAAACGGCAACGATATCATCTACACCAACAAGAAGCAACAACGCCACCAACAGCAAATACCTCTATACGAACACATGTCTTTACAACATCAGCAATCACACCACGATCGAGCAACATCAGCGTCATCAGCAAGCGACATGTGCAGCAACAGCAAACACGGCCGTCAGAGAGATGCCCCATCCTGGTCAAGGCCGCTGTGCTACTCTTGGAGGGGAGGCCACGGCTCCCAGTCCATGACTGGCCCAGAGCAGGCAGAGGCCTCCACCCCATCGCGAGGGCCACGAATCGTGTAAAACTGCGGCGCCCAGCCCACGATATGTACCCCACGACATGTCCCCCACGACGTATGTATGGCCGATTCTGGAAACCCTGGATCCAAAAAATATTATCATCTCTTCGAAGCATTTTTTTACTTCCGTCGCCTTCCACCAGCCTTTTCCGCCGACGGAGGCGGCCTCGTTTTACTTTTGCCGACTTTCCGCCGCCTTCCGCCGGAGGAGATGACAACTCCTTCGATCCTCGAAAGCCTCATATAGGTTAAGGGGCGCCGTCCCCATGAGCGGCCGCCACTGTCCCAGGCGCCTGGCCCATGACTGTTCGGAAACCAAAGCGCCTGGCCCATGACTGGCTCACAGACCCAGACACCCGGCCGCTTCATTTCTTTTTTTGATGCGTGGACCCAACAAGTCTGGACCACTTCCCCAGGACCGGTTTTTCGTCCTGAATCGATGCTTGACGGTCCGGAGGCCCGGCGAGGGCCCCTGCATGAGCATCGTTTAACCGATCCTTATCCTTCTTGGCGTGGCGGCCCCACTGGCCGAGTTGCCCCCCCTAGATGGGGATACAGGCTGTTTCCTTTGGGTTTCGGAGGGCACATCCCCAACTGGGGTGGTGGGATGGTGGAGAAACGGATGGGGGCAAGGATCGGCTAAAAACGTTACTGACTGGAGGCCGACATTGGCCCCAAACTCACCGCTGCAACATTTTGGAGGCGTCGGATGTCTAAGGAGGCGGCATATTGAGTAGGGACCAGCCGTCCCGGCATTCCTATAACCCTACCACGACATGTTCTTAGAACTCAAACATCTTTCTTAGAACATCAACCCGATGGTGTATAACAACACGGACTCAGCACAAAAGGTCCTTCGAACACTCTTTGGTGGGCCTACAGACGAGCCAAGACGCTGCGCCATTGCTCGAGCAGAGGCCTCCAGCCCACGGGGAGGGCGCACGCCGTCCACGCGAGGGTCGCCGCTCTTCAGAGGCCGCCGCGCCCGGCCCACGACCGGCCCACGGAGAAGAGCCAGCAGAGGCGGCCGGGTCGGCCTGTAGGGGGCGCTCTCCCTGTGAAGGTCGCGCCTCTCCGTTGAGCAGGGGCCGACCGTCCCAGCATTCTTGTAGGGCTACCACAAGGTGTTCGTAGTAACCCACAACGTTCTGAGAACCAAAGCAGCGCTCTTAGAACATACATCCGACGTGTGAAGACAAGACAGAGTTTAAGCCAAAAATGTACTTCGAACATGTCGCGCAGACCACCAAAGGTGCTTAGAAAACAGTTTTGGTCTTTGGTGGGCCTATAAACAAGCCTGGACACTTCGCCACTGCTTGAAGTCTCCGAACGCAAGGGCGCCCGGCCCACAACCACAGCAGGGGCCCGGCCACGAGAAGCCTTCCATATAAACTCGACCCTGAGACCTCAGGACATCCATCGATTTCTGGTGCGGGAACGCCACGCTTTGCGCGGCAAAAAACAATCGAGACCCAAAAAACCCTGGGCGCCCCCTGGAGGCAAGCAAGGTGTTTCTTGACATGGGCCACCCCTGCAGCCCACAGAGCCGGCGGGAGGCCGCCAGCCCCACTGGGAGGGATGCCATCCTCGCGGCTCTGGCCATTTTTCCAAGGTCAGGGCGCCCAGCCCACGACTAGCCTTGAGTCGTGCGAGTACCCCTACAGGAAGAGTGTTCAAAAACAGCAGAAAACAAATCAGGGGAGGATTTTCGACTATCCTCGAAGATCTTGTGCTTTCGTTTCTCTTCCAAAGCCCGCCTGCAGGAGGACACGCCCGACTCGAGACCGGCCCACGGAGCCGACGGAGGCCGCTGGTCCAATGGGAGGGTCGCCATCCTCGTGAGGGTCGCCACTGTCGAAGGCCTGGGCGCCTGGACCACGGCGGGCCCACGGAGCCGGCGGAGGCCTCCGGCCCACGGAGAGGGGCGCCGTCCCCACAGTGACGGCGACAGTGAAGGGGCCCCAGGACACAAATAAATACACACAAATAAAAAAACTATCCCCATATTTTCCCATATTTTCTGGGTTTCTGTCTTCCCCCCCACTTACCATATTTTCCCATATTTTCTGGGGAATCGACGATTAATTGTGTCTGTGTGTTTCTTTTCCTCCTGAGACAGCAGAAGCATCGGCAAGGCCGGCAGAGATCTCGGAGCACGTGGTCTTCACGGCCAGGCAGGTGGGAACGCCTGTTGCTCAGGCATGTTTGGGGAGAGCAATCTTGCTGCCAACATTCGAACATTCGCGGATCGAGCGACGGTGTTGCCGTCAAAAGGGTTGCCGCCACTGGGAACACCAAAGGAGTGAATGGTGACATCGTCTTCCGATGTGGTATTAGACCCACCAGCGGCGGTATTTGGCCCGGTCGTCGCGGGAACCAACGACGGTGTCCATATGGGTGTTGGTGGCGTCGTCGACAATACGGGCGCGCATGCCATAGGTACCGCTGGAATCAGCATCCCAGTCGGCAACGAAACCAGCGACGGTGTCAAAAACGATATCGCAGCCTGCGAAGGCGGTGTCGTCAAAATCGTTTCAGGATCGGCGGCGGAGCCAATAAAAGCGTTGCTTACAGTGTTGCCGACGGAAGTGCCCTCAAGGTCGACATCGGCGTCCACTTCTTCCTCGTCTGTCCCTATCGTGTACATAGGTGTTCCATCTTGCTTTTACCTGATGCGGAACATCTCGTAACATGACGACGAATACGCATTCTTCTGGCGACCACATACGTTTTTTTTTGTTGAGAGGTAGCGAACGATATCGAAGCCTGAACGACGTATGATCGGGAGTGCCGTGGGGATATTACCGGATGAGTTTGTACAGTCCCCATCAGGTTCAAATGGCCCCTTTCCCCTCAGTTTTGCTTGCTCATCGTCGTTCTCTTTTATGGTCGTCCATGTCCCTCTCCTTCGTCTTCCTTCTCCTCCTCGTCATTCCTTCTTTTACCCGTACTTTTCCTCCCACACCTCTTCGTTACCATCTCCTTCCTATTCCATCACTCCTCCTCCTCTTCCTTTCGTCGTGGCACATTCCATATCGGATGTGTCGGGACGTACTGCACCCGTTCCATCCTGGCTAAACCTGCTATTCAAACTTTCCGGAAACGACAAAGAACACGCATTTGCAACGGCGTCACAACTTATTTTCTCCTGAGGGCAGCGGCGGCGCCTTGAAGACGTCGCCAGATGGGGCTGCGCTGCGAGTCTTGTGCACCCCATCCGTCGCCGCTACCTCAGTGTCGAACTCAGGATTTGCTACCTGCGACGCAGGATCCAGGGGCAGGAGGGGAGGCCGCAGCGTCGTGGGAAGAGAGGACATGGGAGGTAGTGGACAGAAGCAGTGGGGAGGGATGCAATCCCACTAGCCTCTAGTGCGCAGGTGGCTTAGGGCTCTTCCTCGTTCAACCTGCTACTTTCCCTTCGGGGGATCTTACCTCTGCTCCTTAATAAGAGGAGGAGGAGGAGGAGGAGGAGGAGGAGGAGGAGGAGGAGGAGGAGGACGAGCGACAAAACCAGGAACAATGCCACCGCGCCCCCCCACCATCCCTGTCAACAAAATAAGATATAACGAAATACAGTATGCGGCCAAATCTGCATCCTGCTCGGGCGCGCCGCGATCACTCTTTACATTCTGTTTGCAGAGACGCGGAGGGCGCAACCATACAGCCTGATGCGTGCAAGCTCGAGACCATGCGAGGGCGCCCCCCGACCATGCGATGGCACCCCGCGATTGTGCACCAAGTGATGATGGGGGTGCTCTGGCGCGCGGCGCACCTCGTAGGCGTCGCGCACCTGGCCAGCGTCTGCACGTCTGCGCCAGTCCTCGATGGCTGTCAATGGCAGCCCCTGCCCATGCTTGGCGGGTGGGAGTGAGCGAGACAACCGTCCTTCGAGGGGATAGCCTCATCACTCTTCATCGTTTCTACACACCCCCTCCCCCACCCGACAGGCGACAAACCTGGGACCATGCGCACCCTTACCGCCATCTCGGTCAAAAAGCATACAAAAATCCACTTTACACCAAAATCTGGATTATGCGCGGACCCCCCGCGATCACCTTGAAAGATTTTGACAAGGACGGCGGGGGGTCGGCATATTACCTGCTGCGTGCATCCCCACCATCCGTTTCGACAAATCATCTTCGCCGAGGACCCAACCATTCGCGGGGCTTGTGACACGAAAGACGGGGGGTGCGAAACATGTGCGGGGTGCGCCGGGATGGATGCGGCGGCGCCATGCGAACCCTCCCAGTGGGGCCTTCGGTGGAACTCCTTATGGGGCCACGAAGCGCGCGAGGCTGTGCCGAAATGGGCGCGGCGGCGCCACAGGAACCCTCCCCATGGGGCCTTCAGGGAGCCCGAGACGGTGCCACGAAGCGTGGGAGAGGTGTGCCGAAATGGGCGCGCCATGCGAACCCTCCCACTGGGGCATTCGGTGGAGCTCCCCATGGGGCCACGAAGCGTGTGACGAATGCGCCGACATGGGTGCGGCGGCGCCACAAGAACCCTCCCACTAGGGCCTTCGGTGGAGCTCCCCATGGGGCCACGAAGCGTGTGAAGGGTGTGCCGGCATGGGCTCGGCTGCGCTATGCGAACACTCCCAGTGGGCACTCGGTGGAGCTCCCCATGGGGCCACCTCCCTTTGGGGCCACGAAGCGTGCGAAGGGTGTGCCGAGATGGGCGCGGCGGCGCCATGCGAACCCTCCCACCGGGACCTTCGGTGGAGCTCCCTATGGGGCCACGGAGCGTGCGAGGGGTGTGCCGAAATGGGCGTGGTGGCGCCACAAGAACCCTCCCCCTGGCCATCGCTCGGACGTCCATTCTCCGTGCTTTTTTGGGTTTCGTGCGTGGTTTTTTGCGCCAGATGATCAAGGATGCTCCTCGATGGTCCTCGCCGAGGAAAAATGCACACGTCCGAGCGATGCCAAGTGTGCCGAAGTGGGCGCGGCGGCGACGTGCGGAACCTCCGACTGGGCCTTTCGGTGGGGCTCCCTAGGGGATCACGGAACTTGCGAGGTGTGTGTGTGTGTGTGCCGAAATCGATGCGGCGGCGCCACGTGAATCCTCCCACTGGGGCCCTTCAAGAGAACTCCATATGGAGCCGCGAAGCGTGTGAGGGGTATGCCAACACGGTAGCGATGATGATGATCATGTTGATGCTGATGCCCGATGATGTTGATAAAGATGGTGATGGCAATAATGATAACGACGATACGTGTGATGCTGATGGTGCTGTTGCTGATGCTGACGATGATGTTAATGCTGATGCTGAGACTGTTGCTGCTGCTGATGATGATGATGGTGGTAACGCTGATGACGACGACGCTGGGGAGTGATGCTGGTGCTGATACTTGTCATGATATTGTTGATGGTGATGGTGATGGTGATGGTGATGGTGATGGTGATGATGATGATGATGATGATGATGCGGATGATGATGCTGATGACGATAATGGTGATGATGATGGTGGGGCTGGTGTTGATACGGATAGTGGTACTGATACCGATGATGCTGGTTGTGCTGCTGATGAGGTTAACAACGATTATGGTATGATAATGGTGATGATGATGATGATGATGATGATGATGATGATGACTAGGGTAATGGTGATGGTGATGCTGATAATGAAGATGCTGATGATGCTGATGATGATGATGCTGATGGTGAAGGTGGTAATCGTGATGATGATAAGGATGATGACGCTGATGCTGATGACGTTTGTGATGATGACGATGATGATGCTGA